ATTGGAAGTCAAAATTGGAAATAAAAGAAGAAAGCGCCCATTAAAACGGAATTAGGTTTTAATAGGGAATTGAAATTTGAGAATGTTGTTGATCAGTTAAATCACAGTGAGGGGAAAAAGAAGATTTTTCGTTTTTTTAAATAATACTGGGATCATTATGAGAATTTGAGGCATATATATTAGGATCCAATAGATGGCAGTAGTGCAACAATAATGGATGCAAGCTGCTGTTGAAATCTAAAGAAGAAGAAGAAGAAGAAGAAGGCTCCCATTTTCATTAGCACATGCTAATAGCAGACACGAAGGATCAGCACTTTTACTGTTACCGTTCGGAAACTACCATCATCAGTTCAGTTAAATCTAAACTTGGCAACTTTTTCTTTTTCAACCATAATAAATGTGATATTCAATTGACCTGTTATGACTCAAATGTTGGCTGTCCACCCCCCTTTGCTGCTGCATCGCTGTGGAAAACCTGGAGCGGCAGAGATATCTGCGGCTTATATGTGTATGTTTACTGGTTTAAAAAAAAAAAAACTTTGGGGTTGTGGTTTATAGTCCAGTGCGGCTCATAGTTAGGAAAATACGGACTATAATCCTTCCTGGATTTTTTCTGTGAAGAACCCAGAGAGGGTTATTTGATTGTGCTTTCTGGAAAACAATACATTTTTACATTTAGGCACTCCTACAATCATCACACCTTTTCTGTTACAAACTGACTCCGGCCCCCCACTACAGAAGGGAAAAGTTATGTGGCCCTTACAGGGAAAAGTTTTCACCCGGCCTGCGCTACAGGGTGAAAATTTAGCTCAGCTGTTAGCCGGTCTGCAAGCTAATAGTGAATTCTCTGCATTTCATGCAAGCAACATGTTAGCTTAAGGCGGTTGTATGGGTCTGAGTGTATGATAGACTGTGTGTGTTACAATAAAGAAGCCATATTGGATTGTGAAGTCAGAACAGGTGAAAAACCTCAAATTTTTGCAGTCAGAATCCAGATTCAGTTCTGTTCATTTTTACCTCTTCAAACTTAAAAATGGTAGTTACACCACATCCACTGATTATGTAGAGCTAGTAGATAAGATCTTTCTTTTTGTGGTTTTATGACAAAAAACAAGACATGGATCTGTAGCAGGTTAACATGAACTTTGGCATTCTTTCCATTTGTCTGAAATGTTTAACTCCATCTATGCTTATTTGCTTTCTTGCGTCATAGCGACCGCACAGTGAAGATCTGGCGCGCCCGCGCCGGACTGGACAGCACCTTAGAGGGCGTGGACAATGCAGACGAGGTGGCCAGTAACTGAGCGCAGCACCCCCTGCCTGTGATGACTCCAGAAGGACGTAACTGCATTCTGTGACGTTGCTGCTCTTGCACTTTGCCCTCAACATCTTAACCCAGTGCTGACTCTGAACATGCTCACTGTTTTGGCCATACGATCGTTGACTCAGCCCAAACTCGCTCAGTAATCTCATAATCTCTTAAGGTATTTTATTCATTTCAATGTTCGGTACGGCTCCGTTTTAGGTTTTCCGCTGTACGAACTGCAGTATTGTGAGTTTCTCCTGATTGTCAGTTGAAATGACGAGTTCATTCCAAATCTCGAAAGTGTCCGCTGACACACACACACACACACACGCACACACACTCTCGAAAGGGGTTTGTGTGTCCGAGACGGTGCAGAGATGAGCAGCTGATCCCCGCCTGCATCGAGAGGATTCTGAACCACAGAGAAAACCCAAGCATGAACTGCGCCATGCCACGCAATGAAAACGTGCCATAGACTCTGACTCTGTCCACTCTCTATTACAGTTTCTAGGAAAAACGCCTATTCTGCTTGTGCTGTAGAAGAGTAATCATAGAAGCTTGTACTTTGAGAACAGACACAACGATACAGTTTCTAGAGTAACTGTTCAGCTCAGCATAGTAAATCCTGATCTAGGAGACAAAACGGATGAACTCTTACCCAGAAACAAAAGACTGTTCTCAGATTTGGGAAGAACTGATAGGAATTCTGTTGTAGGAGGAAAACTTGGTAGATTTAGAGTTGATAGTGATCACTTTTGAGTTCATTTAATAGATTTCTTTCACATCAGAACCAACTTCTCACATGGCCATTCCTGAGGGGAAACTAACAGGACACTGTTTCATCTCAACTCTGCTGCTGAATAGCATCTTTAGTTCACCAAGCAAATATGTGCAACTTATGCAAAGTTAAGATGTTACCACTAACATGAATGATATCTGAAGCTACATCAACCTTTTTTTAAAGTTATTAATTTAAAACAAGTCATTATGTCTTGTACAATTTTGACATTTTCAGGATTTTATTCCTCAATTTCTTTGGTTGTTTCTTTTTCTTCCTTCCTTTTTTTCCAAATCCCAGTTTTACAGAATGCTTCCCCACCGTGAAAGTTCAGAGGTTTGTGGCCAATTTTAAGTCTTAAATTTTCCTTAAGCTTCGATCTGCCGGTCCAGATTTGAGCTAACTCTACTTTCTTCCGTAAGGATTGCAAAACAAGAACGTACAAAACAGCATTTGTTTGTTTTTTTCTGTCTTTTCTTTGTTTCTTTCTTGTAACAAAGAAAGAAACAAAAAGCAAAATCATTTTAAACTGGACTTAGCATCATGTATTGGCAACATCACTGTTAGCTTGCTAGCATTTCTAAAACCAGTCTCCGTGGATACATCCTAGAGAATGTAAATATTTATGTTTACGGAGATTTCCAAAAGGCTGCCAACATTTTTTATATCCAGCATGTTCTGGCTCACGGTACATATAAAACAATATGTTTTATGAAATTGTCAGCCTTCCGATTATCTATTGAAACTTCTGCTTTCCCACAGCCTGAATGAAAAGTAGATATAGTATATTCAGTTTTATCTAAAAAAATATTTCCACTTCTTTCCTTCTTCTCACTTTAAACACGTTCACTATTTGAAAAACTGCTAACTTTGAGTCTTCTCTCAGTCCAGTTCCAGTCAGCCCCTCATTTTTCTGAGCCTCTCTAAGTAACTGCAGACCTTTTACAGGGCAAAGCTCTTAGTTTTAGCCTCTTAATGTAATGAGAAGAGTGGAAATCTCCTTCAACTTTGTGGAACTATTCCTTTAACACTTGAGCACTTGTAAAAAAAAAAAACAGTAACACAGTTAAGCTTTGAGGCTAATGTAATCATTAAATATGAGCAGGTTTGAACAATAAACACACCACCTGTTCTTGTATCATTGTGTGACAATCTGTGAATCCCACACTACTAGATTTCTGTCCCCTTGCTGCTCACGTTCTTTAGCCTTATGAGTGGTCGTCTCGTTGCTACAGGTGAGCTTCACCTGATGTCACAGCTCCACTTTCTGTAGACACTTAACTGTATGTTTTTGTTTTCGTTAGGAGAAGAGAGGCCTTCAGTACGATGGCGTGTTCGGGGTCATTGTAGAGAGGAAAAAAGGAGCAAATTACTGCCAAAAATACTCAGAAATTATTAGATTAATTTCAGAAATTTTCCAGGAAAAACAAAGACATTTCTGTTTCAAAAGTAAAAAAATTGTTGGGGGGGGGGGAACTCTGAAGTTTTGAGATTCTCAGATATAAAAAAAAGAAAAAAAACCCCACAAGGACATTTGAGTTTCAAAATTTTAATATTTGTTTAATCTCAGAAATTTTGTAGAAAAAACAAGTAATTGTCTTACTTTCAAAAGTCGAAACGTTTTAGACTTTTTTCTAGAAAATTTCAGAGATTAATCTAAAGTTCTGAATTTCTCTAGCATTTTCTGACTTCTCATGCTCAGAAATGTCCTTGTTTTTCTAGATAGTTTGAGATTGTTTTGGCAGAAATGTCCTTTTTTCCCCGCCTCATCTACAATGGCCCTAACACACCATCGTACTTCGAAGTCTGTGTCGTTCATCTCTCCCAGTTCTGATCCTTGTGGCTGAAGACTTCTGGACTCTCTGTTGTAATCTCTCCGTCTGTCTCGACTGTGCGCCGTTACTTATGAATGTTCAGTGGAAAAGCAGCTTTATGAATTGTTGCATTTCATATCTGATGTTTGTGAAACTTGCATATATCAAAATGTGACTGAATGTTGGCATTGTGAGACCGTTGATCCGAATCCAGTCTCACAGCAGAACCAGGAGGACCAGACTTAGCAGGAAGACCAACAGGCAGCATTAGCGGGAGTTTTCTCTCCAACTACAGTTATTTTCCGTTTTTATCTTATTCTGCTTTTTGTTCCTTAAATGGAGGTTTAGTAGCCATTCCCCAAATGGCAAACTGTAGCGATTCTAATGTCAGATGCCTGATGAGAATAAATGCCATCTGTCAAAAACACCAAAGCATGTGTGACTTTTCTGCTTGCTTAATTTAAGACTTAAAAACACTTTAAACATCTTGTGTAGATTTAAAACTTGGTATAATATTTTATTTCTCAAAGAGCTGTAATAAAATTTTCACGGATCCAGTGCAAAAGTCTGGGGGATGTGATTTGACCTAAAAGGCAATGTGACGGTTTCACTTACTGGAATATTTTAACTTGTTCATTGTGATTGGTTCTTTATGATCCCAAGAATACACCAATTGGATGAAAACAATCTGTCATTTGCTGGACGTGTGGTTCATTTACATACACTTTAAGCTGTAAACTTACTGCCTGTAAACTAACTTTGTAAACTTAAATTAAGTTGTAAGCTTAACCAAATCATTAACTTAAATTTGCTGTGTTAACTTAAAGTTGTTTGTTTTAACTTAGTTTCTTTTTGTTAATATAAAGTAAGTGGATTGCATTAATTTAAAGTTGCTTGTGTTAACATAAAGTTAAGTTACTTGTGCATTACCGGCGTACTTTGTGTATGATGGATGTGAAATTCCACGTTTTTGGCCTTCTCGGTGTTCCGTACATGAGGAGTAGGAACGAGGATGTTATCCATTTCACCAATAAATGACTGAGACATACAACACAATATGCCCTTATGCAAATGAAATGAATGACACTGGCATGTAGACATTTTGTCTTTAGTACCTTATCAACTTTTGAATAAATTCTGTCCATCATGGAAAAACCACCAACAACAACAGACATGTGACCAGGAACCAATGGAACTGAATTGTGTTTTCTGTCTGATCCCACAGATGGGTGAGTGTGTTATTTACCTTGGGCTCAGGAACATTAGCTGGTGGAGGCAGTGTGATGCTTTGGGCTGTGTTTTACTGGGAAACCATGGTTACAGTCACGGATGGTGCTTGACATGCCCCAACAGTCGTGTCAGTGACTTTTAGGATGTGACAGTTGTCGAGACAACCTAGCAACAGTGAGATTTCGTTGTTCACTTCACCTTACTGAGATATTTGGAGGTTACCATAACAACCACAAGAGGACAATGATTTTTAAGTATATGGACCTATTTTATTTTTTTTTTATAGTTACATCAATCTCAGTAGATTGATGCAGACATTACATTAGGACTGAAAGTACTATACTTATTTACTTGCCTATTTCAAAAGTCCAGTGACAATTAACTTTAAGCTATGAAAGCTAGCTTAAAGTTAGCTTTCATAGCTAACTATGAAAGCTAACTTTCATAGTTAGCTTTCATAGTTAGCTAACTATGAAAGCTAACTATGTCAGAGATGAGATGTGAATCTCATCTCTGCCATGAAGGCTTGATCTTTCATCACAGCCAGGTTCTGTTTGATGTCTGAAATGATAAAAGAAGTGGACACAAGGTGGCAGTAGCAGCATCTACATAGCTAACCTGGAACGGAACTACAAAATAACTATATTTTTATACTTCTGCCCATCAAAAGGCCAAAAAACAAAATCGCCAACCATCCCTCATCCCCCACTGACTAGGTTCTACTCACATGTGAAGCAGAAGTAGACACTGGACCTATACTATACTGACAAAACATTTGGCACTGTAAACATTCCATCTGAAACTGACACACGCAGAGTTAGAGAAGAATAATTAACTTGATTTCAACTTCCAGTCAGTGGAATGAAACATTCCAGTCTTTAAATCCTCGTTTAAAAGATTTATATAAGCCAGTTATTTTGTAGTAAATGTTTCATCATTTTGAAGTAAAAGATAACTTAAACCAATATCAAGGTAAATAAGAAGCTTTAAAATATATTTGAAACAGGTTCGTGTGACGCTGATGAACAGTGATTGTAAACTCTTAGAAACATGCCTCAGGATTATTTAGGTTCATAGTTAATATTTGCATTTGGTCTTTGTTCAGGTTGTTTGCACTGTCAGTCATAGTAAAAAGAAAGTACACCCTCTCTAAAATTAAGGGTGTTGCATATCAAAACGTGGGAAAAACATAAAGACTTAGTTTCACACTGGAGAACAAAAAATAAAGGGAAATATGTAAACACTGTTTGATCAGTCTTTATTTTGGGTGACTGGCCGATGTGAAACCGATCTTATCAATCTCTGCAAAGCAACTCTTCAAGCCCCTCCCGTGACTTTTTTTGTGACAAAACTATAAACTTTTTTTCAATCTCTTTAGAGTCTTTGTCAACAACACATAAAAGCACTGATTATTGTTAAATGTTTTTGAGCAAAATAGGATTGGAATATTACAGGGGTATTGTGACCTTATAACACATGACAGAGTCAGTTACATATAAAAAGAAATTGGTATCAGTCAAAATTGGAATCGGTAGATCAGGCGTTTTAAAGATCTGCAACTGGCCAGAACATTGCAATCAGCGCATTCCTAAAGCGAAGCCAGTTAGTATTTTTAGTTTTGACAATAAACTCTGAAACTTTTCTCAAGCAATTGAAGGATTACATATTTTGGTAACTGAATCAACTAATATTATACTCTTAGCTCTTAAGGAGTAACTATCAATTCCAAACTATTTACTGCTTTTAAATTTAAGCAATTTCCTTTCCTTCTCTGTTCTTTCAGTTGTTTGGCTTTTACCAGATATAGTTAGGATTTTGTTTATGGTCTGGGCTAAGTTAAAGTCATTTTCATATATATATTTTTACCTTCTTGCTTTTATAGTTTTATAATTATGAGTTTTCCTCCCATCTGAGGAAAAAAGTGGCTAATTTGGCTAATCTGGCTCTAAAATGTGCAGCAGAGTCTGAAGCTTAATGAACATCTCAGGAGGTCACCAGGATCTGCTCCATAAACCTACAGCTCCTTCTGGCAGACGGCACCAATCACCGGCCACCTGATGGGTTAAACACGTTGGAGGATCATTTCCCTCAACACGTTCACAAAAACTGGTTGGGTTGCACATTTATCTTGTTTATTAAGGCACTACGCCCCTTATGGACACACTTTACACAAATATCTGATGTTCTCAGCGATGATGAGCAATCTTTCTGAGATGCAAGTCTATATCTTTTTTCCTCCAAAAAACAGCACAAGCTGCTTTTTCATAAGATGCAGAGATGTGCACATTTTACCTCCAGTCATGATGCTCACAGAGAGAGAAGCTGAACAACCTCAGCAAAAACTGGAGTTGAAGAGGCCTTGACAGGGGAAACAGAACATCAGAGAAACTGTATTCAATTCTAGACTTTCCTTCCATTTCTAAAAGAACGAATACATTTAAAAGTCTCACAATAGAACTGGCTTATATTTTGAAACATAAAATAATATTTGGGTGCCCAAAACTCGAGGCTCCAGGTTTCTCTAAATTCTGTGCAAAGTCATGTCGAGGTTTATTTGACATTTTATGCTGTGTTTACTAAATTAGGTTCGTAACTTTGGAGAGCGCTATAACGTATCCATCCAAATTATTAAATGTTTAGCCAGTTAGCATAGTTTGTGAATGTAATGTAACTATTAAATTGTAACATTTGTAATTTTTTGCGACATCCTAAAGATGCTAGTTAGGTAGCATCTTTAGTTCTGTCAGCTCACTCGTCTTGTGAGGCAGAGAACGGTAAGCCGGATATGTCCTATGGGTTGTAATATGAATGAATATGTCAAATTAGAAAAAAAAACTGAGGACAGTTCTGAAAGTTGTGGTTTTGGAAAGTCTGTGTGTTGGAGTAAAAAAAAAAGTTTATACCTTCTTAGCTTTAGCTAGTTGAGTGCTAATGCTAAAGTTAAATATGCTAACTAGCTGAAGTTTTCAACCTCACCACGTAAGCTGTGGTTGTCAACAAGAATAGGTTTACATATCAACTTGTTAAAATAGATTTTATAAAGCTTAGTGCTTCAGTGATATTATATTAGTTTATCACAAACAATGGAGGATAAACCAGGGAAGCAAAATTGTCTCCGTTGCTTAATTTAGGCAAGTTTATTTTCAAATTTGGTTGAAATTTAACTAACTTAAGTGTCTTTGAGCTATTAAATTTTAACCATTTGTACTCTTAAACCGATTTAAATGCACCAAAATAAAATAAGCAAAAATATTATCCCACTTTTACATTCCAACTGTGTGTTTTATCAGTGTACTTTTTAAAGATTTGGTATCTACACCTGAGTAAAGTCCTGCAGGTTGAGCTCTGGTTAATGGAGGACAAATGACATGCGCATGTTTATCTCAGCAAGGTTCTGACTTGAAGAAGGAAACTGATGAGGCAACAATTATAGGAACAGCTGGAGCAGCTCTGCGCCCTACTCATTTGAAATCTTTTTAGTGGAGCTAAGTCACGAACACACTAGAAATATGTGGAAGGAACAAAAAATAGCTGCGCAGATAATTGGAGAAAATGCTTTTTAAGCTGTGCTTTGTTGGAACAGAAAGGACAGAGCCATAGAGGAAGTGATGAAAAGCCTTCCCAGAAATGTAGCTCATTTGTCAAATCACTACACCCCCCAAGGAGTCTGACTTTGCAGTCTCTAAGCCATTTCACTACTTTCATTTTGCAACTGGCCACATCCAACACCTCTGAATCGCTCCCTGAGCCACTGTAGACCGCTGATACGGCACTTGTTCTTCAGTCGGAAGAACTCAGCAGTAATTTTTTCATTTTGGCTCTTCAGCCATGTTGATTTTAGAAACGGTCTGACGGTCTCCTTTAGTTAATAAAATAAAGTGTTTTATTTTTCACTCAAAGTTCTCAGGAGCTGAATCTTACGTGAAGACTAAATGTGAACCAAACAAACACCTGCCGAGGACAAAAAGACGATTCAAAGTGTCAAGAACTTGATGTTCACATGAATGTCTCTGATACACTTCCCAATCACTCCAAACTTTTCAATTCAGTCTCATTATTATTTCAGTGAACAAGTGTTCAGAACAGCTCAGCAGATCAGTTTTGGCAGGCACCGTTAGCGTAAAAACATGAAGACAGAAGAAGATCTCTCCCTGTAGAGAATACAACGTAGAGTCACATAGAAAACCCTAAATCAATCCTGCTGCCAGCGTTCCCTCAATCGAAGGTGAAGACGACCTGGTTTTAATCTCGACACCGGTGAGATGGGGAGAGATTCAGGCTTCTATGAAAGCTTTGGAATGACTTTTTGAAGAGTCTTGAAGAGAAACAGAACTGATGGCTTCCAAGGAAGATACAACTAGGAACAAATGTGAAATTGAATCGCTCCAAGCACGTATATGATACTATGCACTTAAAAACAGAGGGATAAAAAAAAACAACCAAAATATATATGTCTTCAAGGAAAACACCAGGAAGTATGCTGCTTGCACAGATGGAATAGAAAATAAACAAGGAATTATGCTTCTGCACTGTAAAGCAAAACATTCTGTTTAACAGAAGATTTGAATTCTCAACAACTTGTTTGGACTCACCCTAAACAAGTGACTTTAACTTCTGGATAATAATAATAAAAAAAAATGTTAGTATTTGACCTCAAGCTCAAGCACACTTCGGTTATGTGGCAAGACAATTATCCAAAGCACACCAGAGGGTGGCGCTCTGAAAGTGTAAAGACCAAAAGAACATTTTAAAATCGTCTAGTCAAAGTCTGGATGACCTTATGAAGACAGTTCATGTTCAAACCTCATTATAGTCAACCGAGGCTCCCTTTGAGGACCCCCCCTGCAAATTGTGAAAAATGTCACCAAAGTGGGAGGGGCCAATAACAATGGAGGGGCGTGGCCAAGTGTGAGCGAAGGGTTACATATTTATTTTCCAGACATCTCTTGCAACTCTTTTTTTTTTTTTTCAAAAAAGCAACCAGCGATAAATCTAGCAACCATTTTATATTATTGGAGACTTTTGGCAACGTGAAAGCACAAATAAGATTCACTAGCGTTATGAAAATCTGAATTTTACTTGAGAAAAATTGCTTTTTTCCCCCCATTTGTACTGCAGTGTGAGCTGCAACATGTTCTGGGAGTGTAACTCCTGATTTGATCAATTAAACAGGTGCTCAACCTGCTGGATAAACTGTCAGTCTGGATCCTCTAACTCAGTGTTTCTCAACCCTGGTCCTCACCGCCCCCCTGCTCTGCATGTTTTAGATGTGCCTCTATTCCAGAACAGCTGATTCAAATGGCTGCATGACCATCAAGTACTGCAGAAGCCTGTTAATCACCCAGAGATACAATTCAGGTGTGTGGCAGAAGGGAAATACCTAAAACATGCAGGACAGAGGGGCGGTGAGGACCAGGGTTGAGAACCACTGGTCTAACTAATCCAAGATGACACCCATTCTGCTGTAATTAGCTCTCAGGTTCATGCTGGGCTGGTTAATTGAGTTTGCTTTGCTCAGGTGGCTTTTGTCATTTGGCCACAGTTTGACTCTTTTGACCAGCCAATCGTTTTTTTGTTGTTGTTGTTGTTTTTTTTTTAGATAAGCAGCTCAGTGTTTTTTAAAAGAATTCCAGAGGAAGCTACAGGGGATGCGGATCCTCATGTGGTCTTTTAAAATCCTTATTTACTTTTGCTTTGTTAGTGCAGTAATTTTCACTTCCAGAAAGTCTATGACTGTAATCCATTTCAAAATTTTCTGGTTTGTTAAAGTGATTCTATTAACAAAGTTGGTTTCAACTTTACTCTGTAACCCAATCTTTGGACTAAATTTTCCTTTATTTCTAAAGCTTTGGGACTTGGTGTTTTTTTGGGACATAGCGGCATTTTATAGCACAATCAACTGTGTATGTTAGCTTCAGTTGTTAAAAAATCTTTTATATATCAAATATAACTTGAAAGAAAATTGATTTCATAATTTAATGCTTTGAAATTGGGTCGCTGTCTCTTTAAAACCTACTGCTCTTTCTGAAACTCCGCCTTCAGGAAGTCATCACAAAATTGCTTATTTGTTAAAACTGTTCACTATGTTGTGACACTACAATATGAGACAGATAATCTGAAAAAATCAGTCTCCTCAACTTCCACCCTTAACTACTATTACCACTTGAAGAAATACACCATTTCAGAAACAACCAATCAGAGCCAGGAGGAGGGTCTTAGAGCTGTCAATCTACGCTGCTAAATGTGTTAATGGCGGAGAACTAGCCTTAGCATTTATAGCAGGCTATGAAACCAAGGGGAGGGTGAGAACGTGAGTGTGATTGGCAGCGCTAAGACCCTCCCCTGGTTCTGATTGGTTGTTTCAGAAATAGTGGTGTATTTCTGTAGTTTGCACTGAGAGCACTGGAAGACAGCAGAGGAACAGAAGTTATCTTTTTTTTCAGATTATATATCTTATACTGTCATTACATAATGGTAATAAATGTAAAAAAAAAAGTTACATGCTGCAGCTTTACCAACATTTTCATTTTCAACCCTCCTAAAGTGAACTTTTTATCCTGCTGTCCACTGACCCCACAAAAGCTTATGTGTGTATGTATGTGTGTATGTATGTGTGTTTGTCTGTGGTTTTGGGAACTGACAGTCTAACGGGACTCCCCTGCGGTCCTACTGCCGCGCTCCTCTTAAGTGTTGCGCTATGACCTGGAGGGTTCAATAATTGAAACATAAATAATGTGTTTTATAACAATATCATATTAAAAAAATAATTGAACGACTGCCATGTTTGCATTATAACTAAAAATGTGTTGTGACATTTCACGTCCTCTTGACAAGCAGTCACCCCTGAGTCTGACCAGCCCCGTACACAGGCACCAGCCTTAGGCTGGCTCTGATAGATGGATACGGGGAATTTCTACTGTCTCTAGTCGCGCTCTCGTGCGCGTGTTTGAGTGTCAGCACGTGGGTCCTCCCGCCCCCTTCCCCTCCATCCTCTCTCCTCCGGAGCTCGGAGGCGCACAAAGACGCGCTGCAGCACCGCGTCCGTGTGTATGTGTGTGTGTGTGTGTGTGTGTTTTTCTCCCACCCTCTCTCTCCGGTGTTTTATTTCCGCGCTTCCAGAAGAAAACACCGGTCTCGTTTGGGCTTAGTTACAACATTCGTTTTTAATCAAAGTAATTAAACAGAACAAAAAAAATCTTCTCTTTGTCTCCTCCAACCCCCTGCCCCCTGACTCCCGCCTCCTCTCATGCCGCCGCTACGGCTCCGGAGAAGGGGCGACTTGTGACGGACCGGCTTCTCCATGAACATGGCGCGCATCGGGGACGCGGACCCCTTCACCGCCGCGATACCTGCCACCAAAGTTGAGCTGACTGTGTCCTGCAGGTGAGTGCAAAGCCATGCGTGGAGTGTTGGAGGAACTCCCTGTGCGAGTAAACGCATCACTACAGGATCGCCTGTATGTCTTTATATAGCTGCGGAGGAGAGAGGTTTGCGGCTTATGGGGGCAAATGGATGTAAATGAGCATTTTCGGAAGATTTGCTTTGGTCTAAATGACCCGCTGGATGTGAGGAAAGAGGTTTTCAGCGTGCAGATATTCTCGCCGTGTTTCTGACAGCAGGATCGAGACTGAAGAGATTGCATGGAAACACACATAAGTCCGAATGCGTGTTTGTTTCAGTGAGGTGTTGATGATGCACAAACACGTAGCTGCTGCATAAAGGAGTTTTGTTTCTAAACTGTTTAGTCGACGGGATCGGTTTTTTTAACCCCCTGCCGAGCAAATAAATTGATAACTGTTGGAAAACGAAGAGACACGAGAAGAGGAAAAGCAAGAGTGATTGTCAATTTCTTGGAAAACTGTAAATCGGGGAGAGAAGCTAACAAAAATCTGTGAAACTCTTTTTAAAACCTTTGCAGTTTGAACCGAAAAGCAGAAAAAATAAATAAATGTAAGAGTCTAATCAGATTGTGGTCATTGGGAACACCTCCTGTCCAGTTTGGGTCTGAGATGTAGAGGCGTGATGAAGAACTGATCCCTGTGAGATCCAAACAGAAAACTCATGTATCTGGTGAATAACAATGCTGTTAGCCTCTGAGCTAAAGCTGGGGAATGAATTACATTTATTTATTATTCAGGGGTTTATGGCTCATGGAAGCAACATAATTACATAAAATATGTTGTGATTAGAGCTGGACAATATTTAGTTCATCAATTCAATTGAATCATATTTTATTTATCTCAAAGCGTAACTCATTATTCAAGAGTCTTCACATAGGTGTTGTAGATGGTGATGGGAGGAAGGATCTCCTGGAGCAGTCCGTATCACAGTGATCTGCAGAAGCCTCTGTTTTTCTATGACAGTCTCGTGAAGAAACTCAGGGTTATCTATAATTTTCTTCCCAACAACAGACCTTTACAGGTTTTAGTAGCTGATGTGCTAAAGTTCCCAGAGACCAAGTGAGAAACTGCAGTGAATTTTGAATTGAATTTGATGGGAAAGAAAGAAAACAAGAACATGGCGGTCTGCTGCGATCATATTGTCGCTGTGGTTTGTCCGAAAATTGTGCGTCTTCCCAACACATCTAAATAATATTTTAGTGGAACAGCTCTGGATTCTCAGGCAGATTTTGATCAAAATCAGGTGATTTTGCCTCTGGGTTGTGTCTGCCACTGCACTGGAAGCAGCACAAAAACGCAACAGTTGCAGCATTTTGCTGATGAACCTTTATGCGATCAAACAGAGCTGTTCGGGCAGTGTTGTAGGCTGTTGCATTTTAGATTTCGTGCTACATTTGCACGGATTTCCCTTTGATTTTGCAGACTGACAGATGGCGAAGCTCACAGAGAGCGGTGGGGAAATCACCATGATGGGAGGAAATGAAAGAGGAAACAAATCAGAGGAGAATCGCAATTGATGTGCCATGAACATTTTCTACAACTTAATGTTTCCTTTAAGATTTTGACCTACAATTAAAAGCATGTGTTGTGTTTCTGTAATTGTCTTATTCTAAACACAACATGTCAGGAAAAAAAAATCTTTATTATGTTTCGATTTACTGAATCAATTTCAGCCTCGTATGATTTCCTCATTAGTGTGAGGATGGAAGCGGGGAACATTTGTTGCAATTTATTGTTTTCTTGGCTGAACTGAGCGACTTTATTCTTTTATATATGTTACTTTCACACAATCTTTCTTCTGTGTGGTTTGATCACCGTCGTTTAGGTATAAGTTTTACCTTTTTTTAAAAAAAAAAAACAAACAACGAACCCCCCCCCCCACAAATATTAACTACAAGCCACATGTGAGATGTTTGCTGATCAAATCTACAAAGATTTTAAAGTAAATTTTTATTTCTAGCGACATTAAATCGGTGAATCATCGCTTGAGGTAACATCTCTGGGGCGACAAAATAAACAAATCCTGAAAACGTTTGAGCAGAAAAAGTCAGCCTGGTACCGACCTTAATGGTTTGAGAGAGCCAGTGTGGACACTGCTTCGTGAAACGGAGCTGGCACCATCTGGGTGTTTTTTTTTTTGTTTTTTTTTTAAGGCATAGTAGGAGAAATGTTTATCTGAGCTGTGACTCATCTCAGTTTTCTAACAAACGCTGCTTTTATTCATGCGAGCGTAATGGATGAGCCCGGGCTTCCACGTCCTCCTGACAGCTAATAGGACGGATCCGACGGGAAATGGACAAAGAGCAGCCGAGCTGTTTTAATGGATGTAAAGGCATTTGGACTCACACAGTCATTAGGCAATGTATTGTTGTTATGAGGAGACATATAGCAGCTCGAGCTCTTGGGAATTAAACTGGAGAAAGAGATTGTGAGTAGGAATCTAGCAAACTCCAGGTTTCTCTGGTCCAACACACCTGGAAGAAATGATTCAATAACCTTCTTACAGTCAGGTTCTGTAAGCAGGGGTTTTCAAAGTGAGGCCCAAGGGCCATTGTGGCACTTGGACTTGATTTTTTGTGTCTTTTTGTTGCGGCCCCTAGCGGTTTGTAACATCAAGATTGATACAAACTTGACCCGTCCAGCGCAGGTGGTTGATGCAGATGGAGAATTTTTTTAAAGTTTTTTTCATTATTACCAACTTGATTTTCCTACAATGGAAAATGTAAAGTACGACACAAAATCTTTGTCTTTTTACAACCAAGCTTTTATAATAAATGTATTTTTTAAAATGGATCTCTGTCTATAGGACACCTTTTACTAAGCCTTGACAGTAGTTTCTTTGCTTTCTTACTTTAAATGTTTCAGATTTCTAACAGGACCTCTATGTGGAGAGACGACTGTGCAGTTACCAGCCGCTGAGCACTGAACAACAGAATCAGTTTCAATCACAATGAATGTGAGCTGGCCCTGAATGCGGCTGGAAACGCTATGAATCATTTAACTTGACACGGCTGTGAAACACCATTCAATCTCCACTTGTTTTTTTATTATTATTATTATTCATCCTCTTTCAGCTGACACGTTTACTTCAGATGCCAGCGTTCTCCTCTACACACCTGCATGAGTTAAGCTGCGTAGCTTTTTTTTTTTTTTCTTACAGTGAGGAAAGAAGCATTTTTAGCTTCTCGAGTTGTCACCCAACAGCCGTGCTAATATTTCTTAGCCGTCCCAGCTGGTGGGCGGTGTGATTCTCCCACTCTGACGTCTTTGTAAACCGCTAAGGCGTTCGGTCTCGATAGATGCCATCCTCCTTCACTCAATGAATCAAGACTCGTCTCAGGGCTCGTTGCTGGCCGAAACCAGCAGAGCTAACGGTCTGATTTAACTCCAGACTGTTTGTACACGAACACAAAGCCATTCGACCCATGAGCACCTTTCACTTCTGGTCCCACACACGCAAAGCCGTTCATACATCCTGGCTGGATAGTAAACAGCAACCTTGGCAGGCATTTAGCGCCGCAGGATCAAAAGACCCTTGCAAACCGTGGGTTCTGGGAGGCCGTGTAGGGTGGTGGGGG